TATTTATTATACTAATGTATTTCACCATTAAATTTACTACCAAATAATTACTCAGACTTATATTAAAAAATCCACAAATACATGTTTAAAACGTGTCAAACTTCTTCTACTGCAAGACAGACTTTGAGCTTGTTCTCTTGACTTCCACCCAGGTTCTAGCCACTCGAATGAGTTGTTTTCTTTTTCTATTCACATCTATTCTGGCTCAAAATGATAAAATTGAAAAAGTAGCAATTATTCCTACTGGGATTTGGTGAATTAATCTGGAATTATAGAATAAGATTAGGATTTTTGGAGTATTAATAGCAAGAAGCTGTTGTCTAAACAGAGTTAGGCAACCCTGTTGTTGTTGTTGTTATTGTTATGTGCTGTTGAGTCACCTGCGACCCATAGTGACCCTATTACAACAGCTCTGGACCTTGCCCTGTCTTGAGACAGTCTCATTGACTCTGACACACCATCACCCCAGTCATGTCAATTCTTCTCATTCGGGGTACACTACATGGTTTAAAATAGGAAGAGTTTGTGTCAGGGTTGTGTCCTTTCTCCACACCTACTCAATCAGTAAGCTAAACAAATAATTTATGAAGCTGGACTCTGTGAATAGGAATGTGGCATAAGGATAGGAGGAAGACTCATCAACATTCTGTTATACAGATGGCACAACCTTGCTTCCTGAAAGTGAGGGTGACCTGAAATGCTTCCTACAGAGGATCAAAGACTGCAACCTTCAATATGGATTACATCTCACCATCAGGAAAACACGTCTTTGCCACGGGGCCAATAGACAACATCATGATAGATGGTGAAGGGATTGAAATTGTCAATGATTTTATCTTGCTTGGATCTGCAACAAGCATTCTTGGTATCAGCAGTTAGGAGGTCATGAGATGGATTGCTATGGGCAAGTCTGATGTCAGGGACTTCTCCAAAAATCTCCTTATACAAGGCCATGGTCTTTTCAATTACTTGCTATGCATCTGAAATTTGGACAACATGTAAGGATGACAGAAAAAGAATTGAGACCTTTGAGTTGTGATGTTGAAGAAGATTGCTGAATGTCCCATCAACTGGCAAAAGAAAAGATATGTCTGGGGAAAGGTGCAACCAGAGTGCTCTTTGTAGGCAAGGCAAGGATGGTGAAGCTTCGTCTCTCATACTTCTGATTTGTTGCTAGGAGAGGCTAATCTTTGTGAAATGACATCATCCTGGGTTAAGTGGAGGATCGATCAGGGGGGAGATGAAGACCCTCAATAAGATGGATTGACTCGAGGGGAGCTCTGGTGGCCTAGTGACAAGGAGCTGTGCTGCAATCCCAAAGGTGCACAGTTCAAATCCAGTGACTGTTACAGTGGGCTCGAGAATATTAGCGATTATGAAGATGGTGCAGGTGTAAGGTGAGACCTGTTGTTTACTGGGATGCTGTGAGTTCATGACAACAACCACCATGTTCTTAATTGGGACTATTTGGTTTTCCCTGAAAGGTTAAGAATATTTATTCTTATTCTTAGATATTTTCTAAAGAAAGTAATAAAATAAGATGAAGAGGAAAT